ATTGCATGCAATTTTGGAATTAGGTTCATCTAACCCTCAAGTCCAAAAGTGAAAACAATTCGGGTTCCGCCACCAATTCCCGTTTTATCGCTAGAAAACGTTTTTAATATTGGAGGATATAATTAAAAAATATTTTTTAATACATTTTCCTTGCAATAAAATCATTTTCAACCCCGCTATTACCCTAAAACCCTTCAAACAATCTCTAAATTGAAAAAAAAAACACTTAAAACGGTATGATTATAATAAGAATTACGCATAAAGTAAATAATATTTTATGTTTTCTATCTTCATTATCAATCATTTTAATCATTTTTAAACCCTTAAAAACAACCCCTTGATGAAAAATTGTTTGAAATAATTATTTTGAAATTGAAAGATAATTAAGAAATTAAAAATGATATGAATGTTATTTCAATTTCTCAAAAATAATTACCATATCCATAATTTGTTCAAAACTACCCTTGAATAAAAACAGTTAATATAACACTAGTACCCAGTATAACTTTGTCTAAACTCGTATGTTTGTTGTTCTTGTTACTGTAATTATTAAACATTAATTTGACTATAGTCGTATAAAACTATATTAATTTATTTAACACGTGGACCATTTAGCCATAAGTTACTTTATTATAAGAATAAATCGCCATTATCAACATAATAATACAAAATTTTGTTGAATAAAAATTCTAGATCGCGGCATTTTCAAATTATTTTATATAAATTTAGTTTTATTATTTGCATATATAATTATTTTAATTATTTATTTTTTTTATAGATTTTTTGAAGCTCAGAAATTATTAAATAAATAAATACATTTTATTCAATGTGCAAAAATGTCTTATTTAGGGTAAGATGCGATTATAATAGGCAAGGCATCGAGTTCTAATTGGATTATTCTTATTGGATTTACACGCATGCATATAACATAGGTACATACACACACACAAATACACACATATATACAGGGTGTCCCAAAACTCAACATCAAGAAACAGAAAAAAAATAAAATTCAATCACAATAACCGAAAAATAGTTACAGATTGACCAAAGGTTATATTTAAAAGATCATTATTCCCAAACAACTTGAGATAGATCTTTTTTCTATTTTTTTCCAGTAGGGTTTTTTCCAAATATTTTAGGAAATTTTCCAAAGAATGACAAAAGTGATGCGATATAAAAATGAAAAAAAAAATTCTTAAAAATAGCCAAATTTTCCCAAAAAAGGCAAGGCAAAAATGACAAAAATTTGTAAACATTAACAGAATTTTCTAACAATTCACTAGTAACTTTAACAATCCGAAAATTTACAGAATTTTCTAAAATAGTACACACCAAATTTTCTAAAATTTTATGTGCTATTAAAAATAAGAGAATATTTTCACACAATAAATATCGAATCTGTGGCGGTCATAGCTCACTCGGTAGCGTGTCCGACTCACATAACAAGGAATCTCGGATCGAATCTTGTCATTGGAATAAAAATTAAAACGTATAGTAAGTTTGAAGATAATTGAAATGTGATTTGTTGAAAAAATTGTGATTTGAATAAAAAATTATAAGATGAAAAGAAAAATTAAAATTAAAATCAAAAGTAAAGAAAAATAAAGAAATCGAATATAAATTTGTAGAATGTAGAATTGTAAAAAGCGATTATAGAATAATATATAAGTATATAGTATTTAAACAAGATAGTATAGAATGTACGGAGGTAGAATAAAATATTAAAAAAAATGTAATCCAACTATAATACGATGGAAGTGCTCAAGGTGAAAACCGGTACGCCAATTTTGACACCAACCTGGATCTACCCTTTGTTTCAGGTTGCGTGCGTTTTACCCGTAGCGGTTTTACGTAGAAAGATCAATACAGTTTTGTCGTTTATTTGTTTTGAAATATTGTCACTTTTATTAAATAAGGGTTACTGTTTATGTTAAATTTTAATTAAATTGATTTTCTATTAAAATTATATTTAAAAAAAAAACAACGAAATATATGTAATTTAGTTTCAGTTATACTGATGATTGTTATACACACAACACACACATACATTATATATATATATATATATATATATATATATATATATATATATATATGTATCAATGTATGTGTAAACAATAGTCGATATAATAAAATCACCCACACGTAAAATCTTTTAGGCTTGTCAATTACAAATGTTATTATTTAATGTACTGTTGTACGATGGCACAACATCCTGTACCTACTACTGTCGAATGACAACCGACAACAATATTATTTCCAACGTTTGCGACAAATAACACGAAAACAATCCCATGTTGATATTTTTTCGAAAACGGCATTTGAAAATATCCGGCCGAAGAAAAGATATCACACGAAAATATTTTGAGTGATTGGCCCGAGTTTCTACTGAATCATCTACATAAAAATTTGGTTTAACATTCTCTCTACCTGCCCGGAATAATTTGAATTAGAACTATATGTGTAATTTAAAGTTTTATCTTCCTAGTAATAAGCTAAAAATTGTCCTAATTTTTTTTATTATATTCTATTAATAAAATTATTAAAAAATGCGACGGTGGTGGGAAACGTTCTCGCCGCCTGTTCTTAGTAATTTCATTCCAAAAACCATGCAAAAAATATAAAACAAAAATAATGTTTAAAAGGAGAAAAGATGCCCTCATCGACTGCCCTGAGTAACTCCATTATATATAGCTCATAGAAATTTTCAAATTTCTTTTCACTTTGTTCTAAATGAGACATAAAAATTCTTAAGAAATGTCACAAGTGTTATCACTTATCTTGCATCGTTATCGTAATTTTTTATTTAACTATTCATATTTTTAGTGTGTGTTGGCGTTAGATGAAGTTATAATACTTTTTTTTAACTTTTGTATAATGAAATGTTCTAATTTACGATGGAAATGACGACGCATTTAGGAATATAAACAGAATTTTATCTTTCTGTTTGAACAGGTTATCGTACAAGAAAACGAGTAATGGGTAAAATAAAGTTATTATATACATAGAACTTATATATATATATTTATATATATATATATAATAATTTGTTTTTTGATTGCTAAATATTATCACTATAAAGTAATAAACTTAAATACAAAGTACAAAATCAAAAGAGTTGATATAAAATTTTATCACCAGCTGAATTTTTTCAAATTTTTTTTCGAATCTAGATTTTTCAACATGCATTTCCAAAATCCGAAATGTTTCTTTTTTCAACAAGTTCTTAAAATATTTTTTAAATTAATAAGAGTGAAAACTAAAATTGTCTCAGCTTGATTTTTTAAAAATGCCAAGTCTTACTTGTCATTTACATTATAAAAAATTGCTGTTCCGTCACCGTTAATTTTTTCAAGAATCTGAATGTTTTAAGATTTATTTGTCCAATCAAGATTTTTCAACATACATTTCAAAAATTCCGAATGTCTCTATTTTCAGTAAGTTAAATCTTATTTTAGTCTTAAAATAATTTTACAAAAATAATTAAATTGAAAACTAAAATTATCTAGTTGATTTTAAAAATGCCAAGTCTTATTTGTCACTAAAATTAGAAGTCATAAAGGGGCTCTTAAATTATTCAACTTGTAAGGAATTTCTGGTTTGTTAATCAAGAAAAAATGTAAAACTCTTTAAATAATGGAAATTTTCATAGAATACTTTAAGCTATGTTATAATTTTAAACAAAGAAAATAATAAAATCAAATCAAATATTAACAACAAATCCAATTAACATCAAGATTAATCCATTAAGCATTTGTATTTTTTTTAAATTAATATATCTTTGCCAAATATACCATATTTTTCATAAAATTTATAAACTTCATCATTTATATATATTAAAATAAATAGATAATTTCAAATCAATTTTCAACCTAAGAAAATGGTTTTATCATTAGAATAAAAATTGATTCAGGATTTCTGTTTATTCAGAGTTTCGAATACGGGATGTTTCCTTCTTGGGGAATTATTGATAACAAATAAAAAACATTTTATACATTTATATACAAATTTATAATTAAATTATTTTTAAATGGAATGAGTCTAAACATCACTCTGTTTGATAAATTTATGAAATAAAAAATTGTTAGGATCATTTCATAAATTAATTTTTTTTTGCTGTTTGTTAGCCAGTAGAGTACTCTTTTAATTATCTACATTTTCATTTAATTTCGTTGTTTTAAAAATTTCTCCTTTTCATGTGTTCGTCATTTTTGCACACGATGGTTTGAATATTTTTGAAGTTTAAAAAATTTAAATCATTTATTCCCAATTTCACATTCACTCACTCTTGAAGATATTATATTACATAATCATATTCACTAAAGACTTTAAAAATTATTTTAGAAATTCGAACACCAAGTTTCGTTTTCTTGCAGTTTTAATTTCTAAATAAATTTTTATAAATATCTTATAAGAAATAAAAAAATTCAACTATTTCAATAATTGTATAGTAAAAAGTAAATTAATTATCACTTCCCTATATATTCGTTTCGACCTTTATGCGTGTCATCATTCAGAAAATCAAACAAATAACAAAATATTAAAAGCTTTCATAAAGAAAAGCTAAAAAAAATCATTAGAGTAAAATTGATAGTGGATTTTTTGCATATATATATATATATATATATATATATATGTATATATATATATATATATGTGTGTGTGTGTGTGTGTGTGTGTATGTAAAAGTATATCATCGATACGTAATCTAATATAAAATAAAAGAGATAGTTCTAAATATTATTAAAATTAAGTGAAAGTACTTCTAGTGTTCAACGACTTGGAAAATTATGTGGTTATCGTATTATTGGAAAAATATATTTATTATATATAAATATATATATATATATATATATATATATATATATATATTATATTAAAACAAGTGTATTACCCTGCAGAAAATGAAATACCCCCAAAACCTCCAAAAACAAACTTGTCATTTTCCATCAGTGATGTTATAAAACACAAGTGCTTCTAAATCTATTACAATTACAATGAAAAAAATCCGCGAAACTCTAGAACCATGGAACCCCCTTTCGATTTTCTCAAAGGGCAAACCGCCCCCCAGCCGTCAAGAACCCGAAAACAATGGATTCGTGAAAAAGGGCGTCGAGAAATCGAAATCGGCCGAACCTATAGGACATATTTTTGAAAAACCGAAAGTTGTGGCCAAAAAATTGTTGGCAAAGTCGCCCTCCAATGAAGGGTTCTATTCTGTGAACCCTGTTGTGGTCGAGGATCAGTTCCAGGGCGTCTGGACGCCACTGGATTTTGATATTGATGCCCTTTACGCGGTGCCGAGGAAGAGGAATAAAATTAATAGGTAATAATAATAATAATAATAATAATAAGTTTGTTATAATGACATATAGATTTTGGATAAGATTGTTTTCTTATCTTAAAGTAAGATAATTATCTTATCAAATCGCCCACTCGCCTAAAATTTATTTTTAGTAAGATAAGAAAACAATCTTAAGTCTTATACATTAAATAGCAAATTGCCAAGTAAGTAAACGCTAATTTTACATTAATTTCTGACACACTCACATGTTCACAAATCACAGTTTTATAAATTATTGAAGTAATAAATACAAAATTCACACAAGCACAATTTTGGTCACAATTTTTTTTAGTTAAATTTCAATTAAAGTCACAAACTAAATAATCTCCGAATTAACCAAATCACAAAATAATAGCATATTTATAAATAACATTAATAAAGCAATCACAAAATCATAGAACCACAAATTTACAAATTGTACAAATCGAAAATTCACAAGTACACAATTTTTATGAATTGACAAATTCAAAAAATTATGCAATCCGAAAATCACAAACGTTGATGCAATTAAAAATTTGCACAAAATAAAAAAACACAAATTATACAATCATGAATTTAGAAATTCATAAAATCACGTATTGATAAAATCACAAATTCACAAACTGTGATATAATCAAAAATTCACTCTACCGCAAATTCATAAATTCACGTAATCATACAATCACACAATAACAAATTCACAAAATTTGTGATTGTGATTTATGATTAAAAATATTTTTTGTGATTTTGTAAATTTGTAAATATGTGATTGTGATTTATGATTGTAATTGTGCTTTGTGATTTTATTATTGTAATTGTGATCTGTAATTTTATGACTTTGTAAATTTGTGATTGTGATTTTTGATTGTAATTGTGCTTTGTGATTTTATTATTGTAATTGTGATCTGTAATTTTATGACTTTGTAAATTTGTGATTGTGATTTTTGATTGTAATTGTGCTTTGTGATTTTATTATTGTAATTGTGATCTGTAATTTTATGAATTTGTAAATTTGTGATTGTGATTTTTGATTGTAATTGTGATTTGTGATTTTTTGAACTTGTGAATTTGTGATTTATGATTGTAATTGTGATTTGTAATTCTATGAATTTGTAAATTTACGATTGTGATTTATGATTGCAATTGTGACTTGTGATTTTATGAATTTGCGATTGTGATTTATGATTGTAATTGTTATTTGTGATTTTATGAATTTGTAAATTTGTGATTGTGATTTATGATTTTATGAACTTGTAAAGTTGTAATTTGTGATTGTAATTGTGGTTTGTAATTTTGTAAATTTATCATTTTGTCATTGTATAATTACACGACTTCGTGTTTTTTGATTGTGATTTGTGATTTTGTGAATTTGTTATTGTGTGATTGTATGTATACGTGAATTTATGAATTTGCGGTAGCGTGAATTTTTTATTGTATCACAGTTTGTAAATTTGTGATTTTATCAATACGTGATTATATGTATTTCTGAATTTGTGATTGTATAATTTGTGTTTTTTAATTATGTGCGAATTTTTAATTGCATCAAAGTTTGTGATTCATAACATCACAAATCACAACTACAATCACAAATTTACAAATTCACAAATCACAATTACAGTCATAAATCAAAATCACAAATTTACAAATTCATAACATCTTAAATCACAATTACAATCATAAATCACAAATTTACAAATTCATAGAATCATAAATGACAATTACAATCATAAATCACAATTATAAATCACAATCACATCTCAGATCACAATTACAATCATAAACCACAAATTTACAAGTTCATAAAATCCCAAACCCCAATCTCAAATTTATAAATTTATAAAATCAAAAACTACAATTACAATCACAAATTACAAATTTACAAGTTCATAAAATCACAAATCACAATCACAAATTTACAAATTCATAAAATCCCAAATCACAATCACAAATTTATAAATTCATAAAATCACAAATCAAAATTACAATCATAAATCATAATCACTTTTATGATTATGATTGGTGATTGTAATTGTGAGTTGTGATTTTATGAATTTATAAATTTGTGATTGTGATTTATAATTGTAATTGTGATTAGTGATTTCATAAATTTGTAAATTTCTGATTGTGATTTTATGAATTTGTAAATTTCTGATTGTGATTTGTGATTTTATGAATTTGTAATTGTGATTTATGTTCGTAATTGTGGTTTGTGATTTTGTAAATTTGTACATTTTACAAATTCATGAAATCACAAATCACGATTACAATCATAAATCACAATCACAAATGTACAAATTTATAAAATCACAAATTTACAAATTCATAAAATCACAGATCACAATTATAATCACAATTTCATAAAATTACAAGTCACAATTACAATCATAAATTCATTCACAAATTTTTTTAATCACATAATCACAAATTTACACACATATTTATGTCACTCAAAAAATGTCAAATAAAAATTTTATTATGTTTTAATTCATACGTAATTTAAATTTAAATTCGTGCTTGTTTGAAGTTTCAAATTTGCGAAAAATTAGATTTTAGATCTTGTGATTGTGTCAGAAATTACTAATATATATGTTTATAAAATAATAAATTTTCCAAAAAGGAATGAACAAACAATGGAACTTTCGTATGCCAATTTGGCAGACAGCAAATTCCAACCTTTAACGATAAAGACGAGCGGAGAGGAACTTCATTATCAGGTCAGAAATAAATGAAGTAAAACTTCTGAACCCTCATTTTGCTAACTTTATCTAACTTTCCCAAAATATCTCCACCAGATCGTTAAACCGAAACCTTTGAGATGCAAGAGAAGTAAATCTGCACAAAACCTTCACAAATCGGAACTAAAGGTGATAATAAAATAAATTCAAAATAAAGTCGGCCACAGACGTAACTGTATGCATGTGCAACCGAAACCGATATTTCAGAAAACCGGTTTTCGAATTTTAATTTTACTAAAAAACCGGTTTTAACCGGTTTTCGAATTTTATATAGAAAATAAATTTTTGCTCGAACATTCTGTAATTTATCCGCAAATTTAGTGTAATTTAGAGCAGTATTTGACTGAATTTATTTATTGTTCAATTTTATAGATAGTAAACAAAATTATTTTAATTTTAATTAGTAGAACTAAAAATGATAGTTTATCTTGGTTAAATAACTTTGAAACTAATTATTCATGCATCATTTTCACATATAAGAATGAAAATATTTTTATGATAGTGAGGAAAGTTTTCGAATAAATAAAAATAATACATTTATAAATGAAAAAATGCATTAAATTAAAAAAAAAATAAAAATATATAAGGTTGTCAAATATCTCCCTTCCGCCTTTTTGTATTATAAACCAAGAGCAAAAAAGCGGAAGGGAGATATTTGACAACATAATATTAGATACATGTTGATACATACTTGTTAATATCAATTATAGTTTTAAAAACAATTAAGCTAAACTCGGATATTGTCTGTTTCGAGCAATTTTAATTAATTAATTTTAAACATTCTAATTATTTTTTGTTTAATAAAATATGATTTAAAAAAACTGAGAATATCTATCGAATTGCTACTTAGACGTGTCCTTTAATTACTCACAAAATTTCCTGAAATAGAAAATACTCTCATACTTGCGACCAAATTATGCTTAATTGTTTTTAAAACCTGATATAATATTTCTAAGTTTTTTGTTCTTTTATTTGTGGCTTCTAGGGTTTAAAACTATTTTTTTAAGTTTGAGTAGAGGAAGTTACTTCTTCAAGAAGAAGTCACACTGATTTAAATTAATACATACACTGGTATAAAAATCTAAATTAATATATACAAAACCTTTCTGGGAACCATTGCAGACTGATAAGATATCAAATGCTATTGAACCGATATTATTTCAAGAATCAAAACGCTTTCATCTATCTTTTATATTTGGCTATATTTGTCATTTTTCATTTATACAGTGAAAACCGACTTTTTTCACTAAAAAACCGGTTTTCGGATTCCATAATTTTTGCCAAAAAACCGGTTTTTGAAAACCGACAAACCCTAATAGTTACGTCTGTGGCCGGCTTAACAGCATCAAAACAATTTTTATATTCGATTTACAATTTTAAGGTTTTTCTGCAAAGGACACCATCGTGCGAAATCGATGCTGTTTATGATGTACCTGGTAAAGCCAAACCGGTGGGAAAAATAGATAAAAATAATGATAATAATAACACTAAAAACTGTCAGAATGCATTTAGTAAACTCAAGAAGTACGCGGAACAGAACACCAAAGATGATAATAATTTAGTGCCTGAAATAAAACTGAATGACCAAAATTTAGTACCTGAAGTGCCTCCGAAAACGAAAGAAACTGATAGTAATAATATAGATGATAATTATATTGACCATGATAATGTTACATCCACCTTAGAAAAAAGTCTTCCAGTTAAATCTAATAGTTGTACACATGAAAGGGTTGAACACTTTTATCAAGAAATCCCTGATAAAAATGAACCAAGTAGTGCAAAATTGGTGGTGGATCAGAATAGTTTGGATAATGATGTTTTATCAAGTGGAAGCAGTTTGGGTATTGTTGAATGTTTAAATAAAATTGAAAAACTAGAAGAAGTCCATGCTGATGTTTCTTCAAAACCAAGTGTTGAGATTTTGGATAAACCTTCAGACAAAAAAGTTGATAACATCAGTCTACCTTACCTCGATCCCTTACCAACTCCTTCAGACTTCAGCGAAGTATCCCTAAACCTATCCACATCAACCCCAGATGAAGTGGATAAGTTTAAGGACAATCGTGACAGTTACGAATACTGGCAAGAAAGGATCAAAATCCGCGAACCTAACCACATTTCTCGATCAAAATCCGTGAAGATCTCAAAGGCTTGGCGCGGTTTCAAGGGATTCCTCGAAGACGAGAAGCGAAAATTGGACAAATTGGTTTCGAGCAGAATGAATGATGTTATGAGAAAGAGGACTTTGGCCGAAATGGATGTTGATGTTGCCGATGGAGCAGCATCTGATGTCGGATGCCGAGCTTTGGTAAAGAATGAGGATTTTTTCAATGCTAATAGGGAGAAATTTGAGGCGGCCGATGCTGCAAAGGCGCAAGTGAGATTTTGTTGATGTGTGTGTGTAGATGTTGAGCATGGTTTTGAAAATTAACTTAGCCTTATACGTGATTGTAGATTTTATGGTTTGAGCTTGAAGTTTTTTGCTGAAGATTTTCTTAAATTTATGGAAGAGCTTAAAATTTATTTTAACAAGCATGTTTATTACGGATAACTTATTTTACGGATATAATTCCTTGAATTTTAATTTTTTTTATTTTCACATATATATAATTTAAGGTGGTCATCATAATGGATATTTTCGAATTTCTTTGCTTCCACGGGCTCAAGTGCTTTCAAAATTTGCAATAAAAAAATTCTCTGTAAATCAGAGCTCTTAATATTAACTTTAAGGTAGTCCGCACTACCTTTCTTCCTTCTCTTAGCAAGACCAAATTAGCAAAATCGATCCGGACCTGTTGTATTATTTTTTAGTACTTATTTTGTACTAATTTGTACCACAAAAAAAAAAATTTGTACTACGTGCCGTTTAAAAAAAACACGTGGCGCTGCTAGCTTTAATATTGAACTACCAAACACTTTTTGTTTTAGAAGAAAATAAATATAATTAAACGGATATTGATTAATTCGAGTTTATACTAATTTGTACCATCAAAATTACACCAAAAATTCGAAAATGTCTACTAAAATCAGTACCCCATGACGGCCGGACCGCCCTAATATGAGATGCTTCGTGAAGATAGGTATATAGTGCAGAAAAAAAGCCTGTATTGAAGTCAGAACAAAAAAACAAAATAATCTTTGATAATAATATTATAAAATCACTGATATTCATAAAAATTACTACCATCATTTTGCCCCAAATCATCCCTAAAATAATGTTAAGGCATTTAGTACGGAAAAAATTAAATTGAACTAAAATTAACAAATTATATCAACACATTATAAGCTATATAATATTTAGTTTTAAATTAATTAATTTCAAATTTTGTACCCCTGCCCTTACGTCTCCAATCATCCCCAAGTTGTATTTACGTCTATGCTGAATCATTTTCAACGTACAAGTTCAAAGTAAAGAAAAAAAATTGAACGAGCAGAATCAAACGAAACAAATACAGTAAAAACATTATAACATCTAATATTTAAATAAAAAATTTGAGATTTTGCACCATTGCCCTTCTCTCAATAATCAACCCCAAATTGTATTTACGCCCATGTTGCGTCATTTTCAACTGTTTTTCAAATTTTTCTGATCTTCAGTAGTTGAAAAAACAATTCAACGAGCAAAATCAAGTGAACTTGATACACAAACAAAAATTTGATATATTTTATGAAAAAGTATTTACTTAGAAAAAAAGAACCAAGAAATTTTGGTGCGGACTATCTTAGAGTTAATATTGAGAGCTAAAACTATCAGAGATTTTTTTTTTTAATTTTGAAGCATTTGAGGCCCTGGGAGCAAGGAAATTTGAAAACATGCATATTAAGAGCCACCCTAATATATATATATATATATATATATATATATATATATATTATTTATAATTTATCTATTCGCTAACTTATATGTTTATTTATAAATTCCGTCACATCGTCCATCGAAAGAAAGTCTAATTTCCCTTTTTAAAAAGAAATCTTTCGTTATTTTTTTATGACGTTTCGTATTCTCTAGACGTCTCTTGTTCGTGCATTGAACGTGTTTGTTCAAATGAGTGTTTGTGTGTGTGTGTGTTTGTGTGTTTGTCAACAGCCAATATGGTTTTTACATTTAAATTAAGTACTTTTTTATTTATTCATAGCTTTCTTATCGGCAAACGTCGAGATAAGGTTTGAAATGATAATTAGAATATAATATATACATATATATATATCAGCTCATTTGTCGAAATAAAAAATAAGTTAAAAAAAATATTTTCGTTACTGATTAAACGTTTCGACACTTAATGTGTGTCGTCAATCAGTAATCATTGGGTTAACAGCATGACACTTAACAATTTTAAATAAAAATATGTTTTTTGAACCGAAATTTAGTACTAAACTAAAAATAATGGAAAAAGAAAAACTAAAAAATGGGAATAATTGAAAAGTGCAAATCCTATTATTAATGGGGCATTTCTACCATAACATATACGGTTACGATAGCATGTTTTTATGCTTCATGATGAAATTTATGGGGCAATTCTGTCAAAGCAGATCTCATACAATAGCATTGCCATGGTAACGCTCTCTTATGCTTGTTTATTGGTAGTGAAATTTGTGAAAATGTCTAACTATTTGCTGTGCAATCTTATGATAACCGCATCATCGGAGATTCTATTATCATAACATTCTTCCTTGCTGGTTTATATGTAAAATACGCCAGATCGCACAGCAAATCGACAGACATTTTCACAATTTTCACAATCAAGAACAAGTTTAAGATAGCGTTGCCTTGACAACGCTATTGTATGAGCTCTGTTATGGCAGAATTGCATCATGGAGCATAAAATCATGTTACCATATATAAGTGACATAGGATATCACAGATTGAGATGATGACAATATATCGGACAATGTATTAGAATTATTAATTTAATTATATGCAAATAAAAATAACTGTACCATTATATTATATGTCATGTTAATTATAAAAAATGTACAGTAAGAAAGGTCATTAATTATCACGATGATGATGATGGTCTAGAAGTGGTCAAAAAGTGGTCAAAAAGTGGTCAACTTCTGGTCAACGACTAAAACTACTATATAATACCGGTATGGCACAGATTTAATTCATAAACAACAGAACGGGCACACGTCGGAATTTGTACGGAATAATAATTAAATTTTCTGGTTTCGTAATAACGGTTTTGTAGACTGACAAAATTAAAACATTTAAATAAATATGTACATATACATATAAACAAAAAAAATGGTGTAAAGACGACCGTCCACATATTAAAAAAAAAATTACGTTAGGCTTAAATGTAAAAAATCGCAATGACCACAGCCATGGAACAAAGTAATTTAAAATAGCAATTTTATAATATATATAACATTATAGAATTATAACGAGGCAAATTTTTTACAATTATTTCAAAACCTTGTCCATGTATCAGTTCCAAATTATATATTTATATGTCTATTGCGTCGATTTTGCAACAAATGTCGTTATAATCTCGAAACGAATGATTTTGTAAATACACTAAATACACTAATAAAAATAGTAGTAATGATAGTGAAACAGATGCTGAATGAGTGAATAGTGAATAAATAACTGTGTTTTCAAAGGTGATTTAGTGCCCTGTAATTCTTTTTAAGTGTTTCGAACTGAGCTTGACCTGAATAAAACTTACTACTAGTAGTTACTGGTACTATTGGGAATTAATTCACTTTAGATGTTCCATTGTTCTGAGAGATTATAATACACATGTGTATAAATACATACATATACACATTCGTAAATTTATATGTGTATATATGTATATTTATATATGCATCAAATAATTAGAAAAAAAGAAAAAAATGACAAGATTTAATAAAATTTAAGGATGCATTTCACGCTTTAACTCATTTTTGATGCCTAAACATACAAAATATTTAAAAAAAATACACGAACCAGAAACTATTAATAAAAGACGTTTGTAACAGCCATATTTATAAAATAGAATAAAGTTTAGTTTGAAAAATTTAAATGAAATAATATTAACGACATCAGTGTTGAGTTAAAAATAAAATAGTAATATTGAGTGTTCCACGTGTAACCGGTAGGCGGATTTTGCCACCAACCTGCATCTACCCCTCGTTTCAGGTTGATGGCATTTTACGCCTACCGGTTACACGTGGAGCTCTGAATATCAATAGACATATTGTCAGTTTAATTTATACTTCAATATTTTTGTTGCTTATATTTATTCCCAATTCAATTTTTTGCAAAAATATAATTCTATTATATAAAGATGACTGCTATTAACTTCTAGCAGAGTAAATTATAGTGATCGCAAAAAAGTCGAAAATTTTTATATATCTTTACGTTTCAAAACCTTCTGAACATTTTGGCATACCTCAGTGTGTGTCTGTGCGTGTGTGTACAGATACAAATTTTCGTCGACGATTTCGAGAACACGGATCAACCGATTTGAATAATTAAAAAAACGAGACGTACTTATTAGTTTTTGGCAAAGGCAGGTCTAGCCGTTCCGAAGATATGGGGCAAAAAGTGCCAAAAACGGTAATTTAGTTCGATTTTAATATTTCAAAAATCATTTTCCTTGTATTGACATATTGAAATGATTAAATTTTTGGGAAGGCAGATACAGCGGTTATGGATTCTCAATAAATATAAGCTAAAAAATGTCATTTGACTGGCAAAAATATTTATTGGACTTATGCACATCAAATTATCAGATATTTTATAGAGATTTTAATGATTGCTTTGGAAAAAAATTCAAAATTTCCAAAATGCTTCAAAATAAAAAAAAATCCAAAAGTTTTTTTTCCCAAAAAGTCAATTTTTTCAAAAATTTTAAATTTCTCAAAGATCAATTTTTTTCAAAGATAAAACAAATTTAATCTTAAAAGAAAAAAACTTTTGGTATGGAAAGTTCCAGCAATTTGCCTTAAGGCACGACGCCATACACCACTAGTATTAGTGTGTATAGTGAAGATGGATCAAATGGAGATTCGAAACGTATGCAAGACATAGGAAAATGTTATAGTTACAAAAATACAATAAATATTTAAAGAGTCTTATTCTGAACGTTTTGGTACTACATTAGTGTCATTCAGCATTTCCAAAAAAATGAATTGAAAAAAAATTGTTTAAGAAACATTTTTTAAACTAACATCCAAAAAGTATATTTTTTTATAATTATACTGTTTAAATTTAATTCGAAACAAATAAAACGAATCAAAGTAAGTTAGCAAATTTGATATTAAAAATTACTACTCTTAACGAATAAGCTATCCGTGATTAAATTGAAGACATTCTATTTCTTTCGTAGGATACTCCTGAATGCAAAAAATCTCCTTAAATAAGTAATATACTACTAAAAAACCTATTTTGAATTTAAATTTCATCCAAAAATAGAATTGTGTAACGATTCAATTCCAATTTTACTCACTATAACTTCATAATTTGCCTACAAACGCTTAGAATAATTCATCGTCTCCTCCTACCAAATTCGCCTAAAGTTTTTTTTCGAAATATGACAAATTCCGTCGTGGGCGTCACTTTTAAATATTGTGCAAATATTTCGAAGCACTAAACGAAATTAGCATAACTCGATCTAAATATAAAAAAAGTCGAAATGAATGAAAGATTTCTAGATCTTGACATTTTGTTCGGTTTGGTGTTGCAAGTCGCTCCGGGGCCTGCTCGGTCGTTAATTAAGAAAAAACATGCAAGAAAAAAATGGCATTGACATTGAAAAAGTTGGAATAAAGTCGGGACAATAATTGACTCTTGGTAGAATTCAGAAGACTCTAATAAAGCAATAGTATGAAGCTCTAGAAAAATCTATTCACTTATCAATGTATCCAGTCAACTAGGTGTAAGTTACGCTTTGTCTTCAGGCGAGTTGTATCAACTTCCTGACTTAATCGATAAGAATATTTAATATATTATTTAATATATTAATTTACGAATGATATATAAGTATACAAAGTTGCTGTAGGACTCTATAATAAAAGACACTATTGCAGATTACTCAATTTGGACAAATTTTTCAAACATGTTAATTAGTTTCGACAAATGAAATTAATATTATTTTATTGAAAGAAAGTCAAAAACGTGTCTGAATTTAAAAACCACATAAAAAATAACTAGTGGTGTATGGCATCGTGCCTTAAGGCAAATTGCTGGAACTTCCCGTACCGTAATGAAATATTCGAAAAATTTTAAACAAATACTGTAACTTTCATTATTTTTGCTATCTTGTTATATCTGAGCAAATCAAATGTAAATCATGAATCATAAATCAATTTTTCTCCAGAAAGAACATTAACAATCGTCATTTCATTTCGAATTCAATTTCAAAAAAATAATAGTTGCCTAATTTGGACAAAATGAAAAAGTGCTCCTATATAGTCACAGTCTAAACGCATTTGCAAATAAAACTGTGCGACATTTTCACTTATACTGTGCTTAGCTTGGCGGCATTTTTACATTTTTCAATAGTTTTCGCAAAATTGGAAAACATTTGTACCAGAGTGGCGCTTAGACTGGGTAATTTTTTGAATTTTTAATCCAAAATTACAAAAATATTTTATGGAAAATGAAAAAAAGATGTAACAATTTTTTATCCTCAAAAGCAATTGTTTTGTCAATACAAGCAGAAAGTTATTTAGATCATTCAAATCGGACGCTCAGTTCACTCAAAAACTGCCATTTTTTGTACATTTAGCTCTCTATCCTAGAAATGGCTAAAACTGCCTTTGCCAAAAATTAATCACCACTTTTTTGGATCATTCAAATCGGATGCCCCGTTTTCTCAAAAACTCGATTTGTACTTTCTGCACTCTTTGCTCCGTATCTCCGTAACGGCTGGACCTGCCTCTGCCAAAAACTACTCAGCAAAATGTGTCAAAATTTGCGTACCGGTTTCACGTGGTACGTTTAATTTTTTTTCATAACTGTTTGTAATATTGAAGTTTAATTTTTTGAACAAAATATACGTCTTTTTTACAAATCCTGCCGATACACTCGGCCTTATGTTCATTGTTTGTGATTTCTGTATTTTTTAAATAATTTGTAGGTTTTTCTAAGTTTTTCAAGGAATTTTCTTAAATAAAACTCCTATTAAACTCTTGACAAGTTCAAGTACAAAGAATATTTAAAAATGTAATTTACAAAAAATTGCTCATGTTTTTAAAATAATTTGGCAACTATAATTTTGCAATGACGTTTAATTTGTAAACATTATTATTGCACAATATAAAGAAGATGATATAAACTGGCAAAGATTTCAATCTGGTGTTTGCAATATTAAAAACATAACATAACCTTGTCACTTTGATATCTCATTGTTTGATATTTTGCAATCGGCGAGGTAACTCTTAATTAATTTCATTATATACGGATTCATTAATTAATTACACAAATACACCTACAACAGACACAAATTTACACATACGGTCTAAGAACAAAAACATTCATCTTGCATGTGTTCATATGAAAAAGTCATTTTGACTTTTCCATAGGCCTATAATATTTTACGAGGTGAATGTATAGTATTTCTGATATATATATATATATATATATATGTATATATATATATTTAAAGTAAAAGTGACAGTATCCATCTAATGTATTCCTCTAACTGTATCTCTGTTAGAAAGATGGCAATAAAAGTTGAAAATATTAACATATAAATTGCACAATTCACTTTTTTATATATATACATATACATATATTTATTCATAACTTTGTACAATTTAATATTTCAACTCAATTTTAAAGCAGTGGTGTCCAAAGAAACAAATTTTATACTCTCTATTATTTGAAAATTTATTTCCCAGACAATTTCTATCATCAACGTTACTAAAAATAATGAAAATCAGTTTTGCTAGTTTTACGTTTCCTCGACATTTCAAGTCGTTCTAAATCACTTGACACCGATATTAAAAGAACTAAGGTTTAGATAGAATTATCATGAGTTGGTATCAACTTGTGATCAGCAAAATTTTTCTCATTTTTTTCCTTAAAAAATTCGAAAACTGTTTGAAATATCGTGGTATGCAAACCACTCTACTGACAAGCAAATTAATAAAAATTAAGAAAGGAACACTACTGACTAGCAAATTCATGAAATCTAAAAAGAACTCTACTTTCGAGCAAAAATTCAGAAATATAAAAAGGGACTCTACTGATATGCAAATTAAAAAAATAAAATAAATTAGAATTATCAAAAAAATGAAAAAAAATCGTCCATTATTAAGCCAAAAATCCTGACCCGATTTTGAAAATTTGAAAACAATTTCGAAAGATTTTTGACAAAGATCGGTCAGGTCGTTTCTTCGTAATTAATTGTTAAAATATTAAATATTATTAATTTGTTTATAATAAAGAGCAGCCAGGCCGTGTTTCAGTCTAAAATATCATAGGTCTACGACAAATGATTTAATTGTAAAAAATCCCTATTTAAAAAAGAAGGAAAGAAAACCTTTATAAAGGTTCCTTATTTGTATTATAATTGCAAATATATAAATTACTAAATAGAGAAAAGACAAGCAAATTGTCTTAAGAAAAAATGACACTTACAATTAAAACTTATCTTAAACTTTACTTATCAAATCTTTTATCAAAGCTGAATAATATATATTTACATTTAAAATTTTAGTATATTTATATTTTTTGGAGTGAAAAAGTTGCTTAAGTATTAGCCTGTAGTTGCAGTTTGCAGTAGTTTTTACTTAAAAATATAATTTTCTAATTGGTCATTTTTAAATAATTATTTATCTAATAAAGCCTTTGGCCATCACTGGCCAATTTAGTTTTTTCTCATCTCAAATAGTTTTCACCTATTTCGTTAATTGGATGTCGGTTGTTCGAAAAAATGGACATTAATATGATTTTATGGCCACTAAATCGGTCAAAGCGACATTTGGAATTTCTTTTATGAATATAAAAAATAATAGTAAAAATCTTGGCTAATATTGAAACAGTAAAATAATATATATATATATATATATATATATATATAGGAAATATTATTTTACTAACTCTTTCAATATTAGCCAAGATTTTTTTTAATTTCTTCAAATTGAGACTCTTAAAAGAATAATTTTATAAACGTGAAAACTGACATGCAGTAAAACAGTATATTTATTTTTTATTTTAAATACAATTGCGTCAATTTTTTTAGTCAAAATATTAGCTTATTAATTGTACATATTTATTAATTTATTTAAAAAAATTTAACTAGAGTCCTTTTAAAATTTTTAGTAAATTTTATAGATTTTTAGGAATCGTTGATTCAAATAATAATAAGATAAAATTTGAAGGAATAAACTTGAAAAAAATTGTGTTAATTTATTTATATGCACTTTTGATCGTTGCATAATTAATTTCAATTATGTTTTAATTTATAGCGATATAAATTAATAATAATTATACTCTAACAAAAATTAACATGTTTGTGTTTTGGTTTTATATCTAACATTAACTCCTAATTGTTTGATAGTTATTTGTAAATATATATCACATATCAATGTTAAAGTTTTATATTTATTGTTATTATTCTAATGTCAATTTAAATTATTAATATTAATAATTTATATTTTATTCAGGGTCAAAATGGGTACGAGGATCTCAGACGTTATATTAAATCCGGTGAAGATCTCAACAAAGAATTGGCAACCATATTACAAGAGAGGTAAAAAAATTAAATATATAATAATAATAATAACAATATGTCAATAAAAGTAATAGTAATTTATTTAATATTAAATACCGTAACCAAATATTTAATAATAAATGCGCCTGTGCTTCATGCAATAGGAAGTACTAGAATGTGTTTCGATTGCCCGGTCGTTAGGATACTTTAATACATTTAATTTTTTTTTTAATTAAATAAATAAATTTGTTAATAATTGAGTAAGTCAATTGTTGAAAAATGTATATAAAAATTGAATAAATTACTAGACTCAAAGTGGACATAAACAAATGTAAAACAAAACTATGTATTTGACTAATAAAATGAAAAAGTAAATGAACAAATAAAAACATAAATAAATATATAAATGATTTAAAAAATCAATAAATTAATTAATAAACAAACAGATTGTGTAGATGTATTTAATTAATAACCCTGAGCTACAAATTATTCAAGAACTCTGGGGCCCTTATATATAGCCTTGAGGAACACCTTTTTCTATACCACTAATATTTGTACTTCAATTATCTAAATAAAACTTATCTAATAATTTCGATTATATTCATTATTTGAATTTGTTTTTTTAATTAAGTAAATAAATAAATTTTAGATAATTGAGTAAATGAATTGTTGAATAATTTAAATAGAAATGTAAGTATAAACCAATAAATTAATAACCTCTATGTCGACATAAATAAATGAGAAACAGAACTATTTGACTTGTAAAATTATAAAGTAAATAAATATATAAAAATATAAATTAAGTAAATATATAAATAATTTAAGATATAAATGATTTAATTAATAAATGACTAAATTTTGTATATGTATTTGATAACCCTGAGTTATACAATTATTTAAAAACTCGGGTCCTAATATATCGCCTCGAGGAACACCTTTTTCTATACCACCAATATTGGTGCTTTGCTTATCTAAATAAAAATTTATTTAATAATTTTGATTAAGTTTATGATCTGTTTATTTTTATATCAGGGCCGAAGCAGAGATGACATACGCAAAACAATTGTGCAAACTTAGTTCCAAACTAAACCGTGCGTGTCGCGACAGTCGTGGAGGAGTTGCCCAAGCCCTCAGAGGCGTGGCCAGCGACATGGAAGGCCGAGGAGACGTTCATAGGTCAGAAAAATGCCCACAAATTAAAAAAAAACACTTGTAAAATCATCTATTACCTTGATGATTTATTTTTTCCTCAGGCAATTCTCAAATTCTCTAAGCGAAGAGATCGTGAGGCCGCTGAGACAACTTGCAGACGCTCAGCACAGGTAAGGGATAAAAGATAATTTCAAAATTACAGTTTGATTTCGGAAATATAATTCGGGTTTTTTGTAGAACTCGCAAATCTGCAGAATTGGTCTGTGATAAATCCCTGAGACAACTTTCGGAATGGAGAGCTGCCGAAGCCAAAGCCAAAAAACAGTCGCATCAAGCTGCCAGGGAAAACGAGAAGCTGCAGGATGCATCGCTCGATGCCAGGTAGTAAAAGATAACTAGTGGTGTATGGCATCGTGCCTCAAGGCAAATTGCTGAAACTTCCCGTACCGTAATGAAATATTCGAGAAATTTTAAACGTTTTCAAATATATTATTACAAATACTGTAACTTTCATTATTTTTGCTTTCTTGTTGTTATATCTGAGCAAATCAAATGTAAATCATAAATCAATTTATCTCCAGAACATTAACAATCGTCATTTCATTTCGAATTCAATTTCAAAAAGTTGTCTATTTTACACAAAAAAGTGAAAAAGTCACAGTCTAAACGCGTTTGCGAATAATTCTATGCGACATTTTCACTTATACTGTGCTTAGCTTGGCGGCATTTCTACATTTTTCAATAAACATAAACACACTTTTCAATAATTTCAAGTACATAAACAGTCTAAACCAGTCTTTCTCAAAGTGGGCGATATCGCCCCCTGGTGGGCGACATTGATCTCCAGGGGGCGATGAAAGGCCTCGCAAAAATGGTGGTTGTTGACGTTGGGTTAGGGGGCATTTATAATTTTATTTATTTTAAATTTTAAAGTTCACCAGAATTTGTATTTCAACGATTAATTGGTACTTTATAAGTTTTGTCGTGTTTCCATGGTGTTTAAATGATTTTGATACAATTTTATAGCTTTTTACCAAAAAATAGTCTATCAAAAGGAAATTGTCTGACCCGTTTTTACAATCTGTTTGACTCTGTTATAGAGTTTTTAGAAAATAAAGACACACAGTTGTGTTAAAACCTGGTATCATCAAAAAATGATTAATAAAAACAAAAAATATCATCGCTGCTTTTGTAGCTAAACTGTTATTACATAAGAAAAATATTGGAAAACGGGAGTTTTATAATTTTCCAAATTTATCGGTATCGTGCAACGAAAACTTGCTCGTATACTGCCAACATTTGGAAAATCTTCATGGCAATTTTATTGAAAGATTTCAAGATATTTTAAATTTGGAAATACCAGGCTGGGTATTAGACCCTTTTGATTCAAATGGAACCTGATATTGACAAACTTGTAAAAAGACATCAAATTCATCCTTCTCATTAGAGTTTGAAAATAAAATTTGATATACTGTTTCTATTAAGTTGATTATAATATATAATATATATGACTAATTGACTAATGTCATAAAGTTGCGTTTTATTTGCTCTCACTGGTAAAAATGTATAATTTAGAATGTAACGTTGCATCAACTAATATATCACACTATAACTATATTAATAAAAGTAAAAAAAAAACAGTGTTCAGAGATTGTATAAAAAATTTGGTAAAAAAGGGGGCGATGAAAGAAATAAGTTTGAGAAACGCTGGTCTAAACGCACTTGGGTAAACATTTGTACCAGAGTGGCGCTTAGACTGTGCTTAGCCTGGGTAATTTTTTGAATTATTAATCCAAAATTACAAAAATATTTTATGGAAAATAAAAAAAAGATGTGATAATATTTTATCCTCAAAAGCAATTGTTTTGTCAATACAAGCAGAAAGTTTTTTAGATAATTCAAGTCGGACACTTAGTTCACTCAAAAACTGCCATTTTTTGCACATTTAACTCTGTATCTTCGAAACGGCGGGACCTGTCTTTGCCAAAAACTAATCACCTCTTCTCCCAATCATTACAAATTGAATGTTTTTTAGATCATTCGAATCCGATACTCCGTTCTCTCAAAAACTCGATTTGTATTTTCTGCACTCTTTGCTCCGTATCTCCGTAACGGCTGGACCTGCCTTTGCCAAAAACTAATCAGCACATCTCCCTATCAATAGGAATCGAATGTTTTTTGAACCATTCAAATCGGTTGCTCCGTGCGCCCGAAAACGTGGACGAAAAAATGCGGACATACAAAAAACACACACACACATCCATTTAGTTTCTGAGGTATGACAGTAAAATGTTCAGAAACCTTCAAAACGTCGAAAAATGCAAAAAAATTTATTTTCGATTTTCGGCCATTAATATAACTACCCTACGGGAAGTTAACAATTGAATAAAAATTTGTCTTCATCCAATTGTCTATTACCAGGTTAGCGAGGGCTCCAAGCCTAGCTCTAATGAACCATTCCAACCATGCCAAAATGCATCCTCAACCAATAAACCAAAACCACCAAAATCAGGCTGCCAATAATCAAAACAACCACCAATCCGAAAAAGACGCTGCCAGAACCGAGCAAAAAAGAAAGAAAGCTGAATTGGCTGTGAAGAAGGCTGACGTGGAATACTACACACTTTGTGTTCGAGCTGAAAGGGCTCGATTGGACTGGGAGGTAAATACATAAATATATAGACGAATGAGCTAATAAATAATAAATATTCTTTATCTAGAGTTCAGTTACAAGAGCTTGTCGCGTTTTGGAAGCCCTGGAACGAGAACGTGTAATCAGAGTCAAAGGAGCTATTGGTACTTATTGCGAATTGTCGGAGCAATGTGCTCCCCTGATGGGAGCGCAAAGGGAGACTCAAAGGGCGCTCGCCAGGTGCGATCCTGATGTCGAGTTGGAACACGTTCAGGCCATCAGAAGGTAAATAGATAGAAGATTTATGTCGAAAGACTAATGGGGCAATTCTGCCGTAATAGAGCTCATAAAATAGCGTTGTCATGGCAACATTGTTTTTGGTAGCACCATCTAAAATTCTGTTATCATAACATTCTTCCTTGCTTGTTCATATGTAAAATACGCCTGACTGCGCGGCAAATATATAGACATTTTCATAATTTTCAATATCAAGAACAAGCATAAGACAGCTTTCCCATGACAACGCTATTTTATGATATGAGCTCTGTTAAGGCAGAATTTCCTCATAACTTGCATTTTGTTATGAACAAAAATAAAGTTCTGTCACATGTAGTTATTACGGTGGCATATTGCAAATGTACAGAAGCATTAGCAAGAAAATTTTGCAAACAGTACGATTTTTAAGAAACTGCTTTACTTTGCGTATTCGATGTAAGAAAGTTTCACGTATCATTTATATATAATGAAAATATTACATGTATTAAAAGCATCATCGGGTAAAATATCCAAATCAGCATCGATTTCTTAAAAATTCATACTTAAATACTTTGTTTATGGCGCTGAAGTTTTTTTCATCGATGTATCCCTCGTAAAATATTTTGCATATATCGTTTCTACATGATATTAAAAAAAATGTACGTAATAAAACTTTTTTGCTTTTGTACGAGATGGCATTTAAGTTAAAAACTAACTAATACTGAACGTTTTCAAATAGATTATTATAAATACTGTAACATTGTCTAATATTTATAAGAATTATATAAACTGAATTGCAAAGTCGAAATTATTTGTTTAAAGTATATTAGAACAGAATTAAGATTAATATCTGAATTATTTTGGATATACAAAAAAAAATTCTTGAAAAAAAAATTTTTTTTGAAAAAAAAAATAGAAACATTTTTCTTCCAAAATCAATTATTTTGTTGAAACAAGCAAAGAGTTCTTTAAATCATTTGAATCGGACGCTTAGTTTTCTCAAAAACCGCCATTTTTTGCACATTTAGCTCTGTATCTTCGAAGTGGCTGGGCCTGCCTTTGCCGAAAACTAATCAGCACATCTCCCTATCAACAGGACTCGAATGTTTTTTGAACCATTCAAATCGGTTGATCCGTGCGCCCGAAAAATTGTATCCATACATACACACACATACACACACACATCCATTTTTTCTGAGCTATGCCAAAATGTTCAGAAACCTTTAAAACATGGAGAAATGCGAAAATTTTTATTTTCGATTTTCGACCCATTCCCTACGGGAAGCTAAAAAGTAACCAATAAAGTGATATAATAAGAAACAATTGTCTGGTTTAACATAAATGAATATAATGTGATGTTTACTGTTTATTTTATACTATTTATACATTCTTTTACATATTTGAGAAGAATATGCCTTAAGTGAGTATAAGCAGTTGAAATATTTTCTTATAACCTTTTTCCTAATATTTAAATTCAATTTAAGAAATGTTTATATTTCATTTCAATTTAAGAAATGATTATATGTCATTGATTATTATTACATTTTCGACTAAAAATTGCCATGGTTTCCTTTGTGAATCAGCATGTGCCTTTGCAGACTATCGAATCGTGTGAATGTCTTATTACAAACATTGCATTGATGAAGGCGTATTCCTTTGTGAATTTGCATGTGACGTTTGAGACTTCCGGATTGTGCAAATGTCTTATTACAAACATTGCATTGATGAGGGCGTATTCCTTTGTGAATTTGCATGTGACGTTTGAGACTTCCTGACTCCGTGAATGTCTTATTACAAACATTGCATTGATGAGGGCGTATTCCTTTGTGAATTTGCATGTGACGTTTGAGACCTCCTGAATCCGTGAATGTCTTATTACAAACATTGCATTGATGAGGGCGTATTCCTTTGTGAACTTGCATGTGACGTTTGAGACTTCCGGATTGTGCAAATGTCTTATTACAAACATTGCATCGATGAGGGCGTATTTTTTTGTGAATCAGCATGTGTTTATTCAGATGACATGATAGTGCAAATGTCTTGTTGCATATGACGCATTCATGGGGGCGCTCTCCGCTATGCAAAAGCATGTGAATTTTCAAGTAACTTTTTCGTTTCATAGTCTTATGACAGATTTCGCATTTTAAAGGGCGTTTTTTGCTATTACTAAAATTGTGATTGACCATATGCTCTTTTAATTGATCAGATTCTGCAAATGATTGATCACAAATGTCACATTCACAAACTGCTGGCTCGACTAACTCCTGTTTCACTTCTTCTTCGATTGTCACTTCAGAGTTCATGGATCTTTCTAAACAGGTTTCATCATCCTCAGAATACGATTCAGATTTAACAATATCGTCAGAAACATCAATATCATTCTGAATTTCGTGTTTAATGTCCGCTAACTCCTGTTTGACATCTTCATACTTAACAGTATCATCAGAAACATCAATTTCATCCTGAATTTCGTGTTTAATGTCTTCTTCTAAATATTCTGGCGGTTCAATTTTGATTGCCGGATCATTCATTGACATAATTGTTTCTTCTGATATTTTTAAATACTTTAACTGCTTATACTCACTTACGAAATAATTGAAATAATTCCAAAATAGGAGTGGGCTAAAAAATAAATTTCAACTTAAATTAAATTTATTATTTGACATTTGGAGCATAGACCATAGAGTATACTTACAGAAAGATGAGACACTCCTCATATTGCTTTCACATTTAACAATGGCGCGCATTTTCAAATTCATTATGTTTCTCTGTGTCTAAACTATTTTATTAAATAATATTAATTTTACAAACGTTTCGAGACTAGGTTTGTCTCATCATCGGTGTATTATAATTTAAAATTTTAAGACCAATTAAATAAAATTTCCAGCAGCAGAAAAACAGAATTAAATACAAAAAATATAAACCAATAGAAAGCAAATAAATCGTAATGAAAAATGAAATAAATAAATAGAAAATACATAGATAGATATATAGATAGATAAATAGATAAATAGATAAATAGATAAAAATAACTAGTTGAATATATAGATAAATATATAACTAAATAAGTAGATAAATACGTATATAAAATAGTGGGGTATATGGCATCGTGCCTTAAGGCAAATTGCTGGAACTTCCCGTACCGTAACGAAATGTTCGAGGAATATTAAATGTTTTCAAATAGATTATTATAAATATTGTAACATTGTTTAATATTTATAAGAATTATATGAACTGAATAGCAAAGTTGAAATTATTTGTTTATAGTATATTAGAACTATAGCCAGAATTAAAAATAAAATCTAAATTATTTTTGATGTACAAAAAAATTGTTTTTTGAAAAAAAAAATTGAAAAAAAAGTTGGAACAAAAAAATTTTTTTTTCCAAAATCAATTATTTTGTTAAGACAAGCATTTTTTCGTTTACGTTTTCGGGCGCACGGATCAACCGATTTAAATGGTTCAAAAAACATTCGATTCCCATTGATAGGGAGATGTGCTGATTAGTTTTTGGCAAAGGCAGGTCCAGCCGTTACGGAGATATGGAGCAAAGAGTGCAGAAAATAGAAATCGAGTTTTTGAAAGAACGGAGCATCCGATTTGAATGATCCAAAAAACATTCAGTTCGTAATGACGGGGAAAAGTGGTTATTATTTTTTGGCAAAGGCAGGTCCAGCCATTTCGAAGATACGGAACTAAATGTGCAAAAAATGGCAGTTTTTGAGTGAACTAAGCGTCCGATTTGACTGATCTAAAAAACTTTCTGCTTGTATTGACAAAGCAATTGCTTTTGAGGATAAAAAATTGTTACATCTTTTTTTCCCATAAAATATTTTTGTAATTTTTTGGATTAAAAATTCAAAAAATTACCCAGACTAAGCACAGTCGAAGCGCCACTCTGGTACAAATATTTACCCAAGTGCGTTTAGACTGTTTATTTAAGGAGCAATTTTCCAATTTTGTGAAAACTATTGAAAAATGTGAAAAGGCCGCCAAGCTAAGCACAGTGTAAGTGAAAATGTCGCACAGAATTATTTGCAAATGCGTTTAGACTGTGACTATACGGGAGTACTTTTTCAATTTTGTGTAAATTAGGCAACTATTTTTTTTTAAATTAAATTCGATATAATATGACTATTGTTAATGTTCTGGAGATAATTGATTGATTTATGATTTGTTCATTTGATTAACTCAGATATAACAAGATAGCAAATATAATGAAACAATTACAGTATTTGTAGTAATATATTTGAAAACGTTTAAAATTTCTCGAATATTTCATTACGGTACGGGAAGTTCCAGCAATTTGCCTTAAGGCACGAAGCCATACACCAGTAGTTTGTAAATATATTTACCAAGTTTTATCAATTATTTTTGTAGACAAACCGAGGGTCCTTGCGAACAGCTCCTGCCAGACTTCTACTGCGAACACACGACCTTAGCAATGAACAGAGAGCGCAGAAAACAGGCAAGTCCAAGTCCTTTTCTTCACCAACATGCCTTCAATATTTTTAAATTTACACATCAATCCTTTCAGGCTTTGGTCAAATTACTGCAACTAGTACGACAGGATTTGATACGAGAGAAAAAATCCAGGACCGGCGTCGAAACTTTATACAGGGCCATGAAACAGACAAACGGACGCGCAAATGAAAACAGTAGCAATTCTAATCACTCCGAAGGGATCAGTCAGGATGAATCGCAGCAGAATATTGAGGAGAAACTGTATCACGTAGGGATAATGGATATATCTGTGCCAAAACTTTTGACGAATTTGTGACAAATATTTATTATTGGTTTAGATTCGTTGCATGCTTTTGTACCTGGAAGGAGCTCGTTACAAGCTGCACGCTGCCCTTTGTGAACTCGATCACAGAGCCAAGACAGATCATCCCTTAGCGGCGTATCTTAGGGTCACCAGGGACAGGTAGTAATAATAGTAAAAATAAATACAAAAATTTAGATATTCTGATATTAATGTGGCAATTCTGCCGTAACAGAGCTTTATGGCTTTAACGCTCTCTTATGCTTGATCTTTTATGCTCAATGTCTATCTATTTGCCGTGCGATCAGGCGTAGTTTTCATATAAACAAGCAAGGTATAACGTTATGATTACAAATTTTTAGATGGTGTATTTATCGTAAGATTATTCCTTGCTTGGTTATATGTAAAATACGCCTTATTGCACTGTAAATACATAGACTATAGATTACACCTAAGTCTGTTTTTACACGGTAGATTGGTTCCAGAAGAAGCCGTGTAAAAAAAAAACCGTGTAAAAAAAGACATTGATCTTATACAAAAATAGGTGATTTGTTCCTAATCTCTAAAACCTATTAAAATTAGTGAAAAATTGTTTGTACGCGCTAAAGGGGAATTCACTTAAATCTTTAAGCTAGTGTTCGCAAACTATCGATACTATCGATGGTTTCAGACTTTTTTCTTTCATAAGTACTTTTTTATGATATGAACATACTTCGCAAAAATTAAATTTGACAAAAAAAAATTTAAGTACATAAAATTTCAAATCGTGCTAAATGGAATAAAATCGTGTAAAAAAATTAAAAATATTCAATTTTCAAACCGTTTTATATCAAAACCGTGTACAAAAAGACCGTGTAAAAACAGACTTAGCAAAAACAAGCATAACGGAAGGTTGCCATGACAACGCTATTTTACGAGCTCTGTTACGGCAGAATTGCCCCATAAGTTTATTGCACTAATGATGAAACTGAAACAAGATAAAAAGGGACTCTACTGACGAGCAAACTAAAAATAAATCGAGATAGGAAGGGACCAGAAGGGACTCTACTGACGAGCAAACTAAAAAAATTAACCAAAATAAGAAGGGACTCTACTGACGAGCAAACTAAAAAATGAACCAAAATAAGAAGGGACTCTACTGACGAGCAAACTAAAAAATGAACCAAAATAAGAAGGGACTCTACTGACGAGCAAACTAAAAAATTAATCAAAATAAGGAGGGACTCTATTGACGAGCAAACTTAAAAAATTAAATCTGCTCATTTTCTGAGTAAAACGAATAGAAGAAAGGGACTCTACTGACGAGCAAACCAATAAAAGTGTAAAAATGTCTTTATTGACAATGAAACTGAATTCTGCTGACTTTCTGAGTAATAAAATTAGAAAAACGGACTCTACTGACGAGCAAACTAATAGAAGAGAAAAAAATAAACTCTACTGAAAAGCAATATTATTTGAATACAATTTGATGTCAAACAATATTAATGTGATGAATGTGATTGTTTATTTTTACACTATAATAATTAAATCTAAGCTCAATTTAAGTTTAATGTTAATAATAGGTTTTCATTAAAAAATGTTATAAATTTTTTTTTTTTTTTGACGAGCAAACTTAAAAAATTAATCAAATAAGAGGGCTCTATTGACGAGCAACTTAAAAAATTAAATCTGCTCATTTTCTGAGTAAAACGAATAGAAGAAAGGGACTCTACTGACGAGCAAACCAATAAAAGTGTAAAAATGTCTTTATTGACAATGAAACTGAATTCTGCTGACTTTCTGAGTAATAAAATTAGAAAAACGGACTCTACTGACGAGCAAACTAATAGAAGAGAAAAAAATAAACTCTACTGAAAAGCAATATTATTTGAATACAATTTGATGTCAAACAATATTAATGTGATGAATGTGATTGTTTATTTTTACACTATAATAATTAAATCTAAGCTCAATTTAAGTTTAATGTTAATAATAGGTTTTCATTAAAAAAATGTTATAAATTTTTTTTTTTTTTTTGAATATGTAGATATAGTTTTAAGTTTTCTTATGAAGAATTTGTTACAAAAGTTTATTTTTTCTATTGAATATATATATATATATATATATATATATATATATATAGTTTTATGTCAACGTTTCCAATTATATATAACATGAATGGGTACATATTCTTCAATCCTTAATTTATTTACATTGTAAAATAGTGCGATAACGGTTAATACATATTTTATTATTTGGAGGAGGCGGTCGTTTAAAATTTCCTAAGCTTGAAGGGGGTCGCTATATAAAAAAGTTTAAGAAGCCTTGATCTAGAAAACTATAGTATCTACCGTCAAAAAATAATAATAAAAATCATCGAAAAAAATTTTTTTTAACACTTTATTACAAGAAAACGACCCGGCCGATCTCTACCAAAATCGATTCAGAATTGCGAGCTAAAACGTGGACGAAAAATTTTTCATTTCTCTGCTATTTACGAGAACAATAGTCCTCATCGAGACACATCGAATGGCTTTTAAATTTTTGAAATCGGTCCAGCCGTTTTCGAGAAAACGTCAATTTACACACACACACTTACACACACACATACTTCTTCCAAATGTTGGTCTCATTCGATTCAGAATGGCTTGAAACGTCCAAGAGAAAACATAAAATTAGCGAATCGGATGTTTTGATGAAAACCTAAACTTCTCCTTCGGGAAGTTAAAAAAGAACACTACTGACGAGCAAACTAATAGAAGAGAAAAAAATAAACTCTACTGACAAGCAAACTATAATAATATGAGAAGGGACTCTACGGACGAGGGAGGGTCAATAATCTTTGTTAGTCAGTAAAAGACGGCTATGAAGTTGGCCAATGGACAGACAGAGTTAGTTATATTGGTGTTTTAGTATAACTTTCAGAACTATTTATAAAGAACCACATAATCCAGCAGGATTGCAGTAGTATTCAACTATCTAGTTATCTCATTTCCAGAACCGGTCTCCAGCAAAGTGTCCTCCGTGCACCATCGAGTCTCCGAGACTCACCGCCGATAGAAAACAACGACACCAGCCCCATGGAGACACCAGACATCACCAGTTCTGGTGGTGACACCAAAATGAACCAGCAGGCTTCATCACACGGAGGCACCGATGACGATGATGCCTGGAGCGGCGAAGGCAGAGGAGCAGGAGACGGATTGTCGAACCAGAGAGATTCGGATTATGGTAAAAATTAGATAGAGGACAATATGGTGATTTTTGACAAAGGATTATTTATTAACTTCCCGTAGGGTAAGTTATTGTAATGGGCCGAAAATCGGAATTGAAAATTTTTACATTTCTCGACGTTTTGAAGGTTTCTGAACGTTTTGGCATACTTCAGAAAAAATGGATGTGTGTGTGTGTGTGTGTGTGTGTGTGTATGTATGTATGGATACAAATTTTCGTCCACGTTTTCGGGCGTACGGATCAACCGATTTGAATGGTTTAAAAAACATTCGATTCCTATTGATAGGGAAAAGAGCTGATTAGTTTTTGGCGAAGGCAGGTCCAGCCGTTTCGGAGATACGGAGCAAAGAGTGCAGAAAATAGAAATCGAGTTTTTGAGTGAACGGCGCATCCGATTTGAATGATCTAAAAAACATTCAATTAGTAATGATTGGGAGAAGGGGTTATTAGTTTTTCGCAAAGGCAGGCCCAGCCATTTCGGAGATACAGAGCTAAATGTACAAAAAATGGCAGTTTTTGAGAGAACTAAGCGTCCGATTCAATTGATTCAAAGAAATTTCTGCTTGTCTTAACAAAATAATTGATTTTGGAAAAAAAAAATTTTGTTATATTTTTTTTTTTTTTTTTTTTTTTTTTTAGTTTTTTATATCGAAAAATTTCAGATTTCATTTTTAATTCTGACTATAGTTCTAATATACTTTACAAATAATTTCAACTCTGCAATACAGTTTATATAATTCTTATAAATATTAGACAATGTTACAATATTTAGAATAATCTATTTGAAAACATTCAGTATTCCACGAACATTTCGTTACGGTACGGGAAGTTCCAGCAATTTGCCTTAAGGCACGATGCCATAATTGCCTCAAGACAGAATTCCACTTACAGCTAGTTTATTTATTTGTAAAGAAAAATACCTAATTTTCTTTAGTTTGAATTTTGCGCGTTATAATTGTCATAGATACAGCTCCCATGATACTAGGATAGGGAAACAAGTGAAAACCTACAATACGTCAGGGCGTAATTAATAAAATTTCCTAAAAGTAAAATAATCTTTAAAATAGTAGATATTGGTGTAAAAATGTTTAGGAACTGACATTGTGATTATTAACATTAAATGTCGTTTCTTTTCTGACAGAGAAACTCAATTGTGTTTGATTGGCTTTGTCACCCTAAGCGCGAATATAATCTTATATATTTATTTATTTATTTATGCGCCAATCGGCTTTAAACTATTTGTCGTAAGGCCGTAATAATTCAGCAAGTTCTATAAGACCATGATATATATCGCCAAAAAAAGTTCCATAAAAATCGCTCTAATTTTTTTTTTCAACAGTTAATTACAAGAAAACGGCTCGGTAGATTTTCACCTAAAACCAATCAGTATCATTCCCAACTAATATCTTTCGAACAGTTTTTGATTTTTTAAAATCGGTTCGGTAGGATGAGCTTAAATGTGAACGAAAAGTTTAACACTTTTTTTCAAATTACAAAGAAACGGCTTGGCCGATCGTCGCACAAAACTGACAAACGATAGTCCTCGTCGAGATACATCGAAGTTTTTAAACTTTTAAATCGGCCCAGCCGTTTTCGAAATAACGTCGATTTACGGCAAAAAATCTGTTCACATACACACACACACATACTTTTTCCAAATTTGGTCTCATTCGATTCAGAATGGCTTGAAACATCGAGAAAACATAAAATTAGCGAATCGGATTTTTTGATGAAAACATAAACTTCTCCTTCGGGAAGTTAATAATAGGTTAATAAATAACAAATATTCATTAAATTAAAAAATTAAAAAATAAATAAAAAAATATTAGATAAATGTTGATACATACTTGTTAATATCAATTTTAGTTTTAAAAACAATTAAGCTAAACTCAGGTATTATCTGTTCCGAGCAATTTTAATTAATTAATTTCAAACATTCTAATTATTTTTTGTTTAATAAAATATGATTTAAAAAAACTGAGAACATCTATCAAATTGCTACTTAGACGTGTCCTTTGTTTATTCACAAAACTTCCTGAAATAGAAAATACTTTCATACTTTCGACCAAATTATGCTTAATTATTTTTAAAGCCTGATATAATAATTCTAAGTTTTTTTATTCTTTTATTTGTGGTTTCTAAAGCTTAAAACTATTTTCTTTAAGTTTGAGTAGAAGAAGTTACTTCTTCAAGAAGAAGTCACACTGATTTAAATTAATATATACACTGGTATAAAAATCTAAATTATTATATACAAAACCTTTCTGGGAACTATTGCAGAGTGATAAGATACCAAATGCTATTGAAACGATATGATTTCAAGAATCAAACCTCTTTCATCTATCTTTTATATTGGGCTATATTTGTCATTTTCCATTTATACAGTGAAAACCGACATTTTCACTAAAAAACCGGTTTTCGAATTCCACAATTTTTGCCAAAAACCGGTTTTTGAAAACTGACGAACCCTAGCTTATATTGATGATTTTTTCTAAAATTTATCTTGTTTTGTTTTAGATGAGTTTTCGTCTCAAGGAAGTTTCAACGATGATTCCACGGATACCCTGCAGGTTATCGAGTCGGATAAGAATCATGAAACCAAGGATGTCAAGGATGACAACGATAGTGATAAGAATCATGACAGTGCCTGCGAAACTGATGGTAGTGAGAAGATTATTGGATATTGTAAAGGTAACGTTTAACTAGAAGTTGGTGCATGCCATTGTGCCTTAAGGAAGTATTCAAGAATATGGGTACGAGAGGATTTTTTTAAATTTAAATATTTTTTTAAGAATCAGCTATTTGACCACGAGTCCTCTTCTGTTTCCATCTTTTTGCGAAACTTTAAACGAGTTTTTCTCAAAACTGTCTTTTTCAATACAATTTACTTGAAATTTTCAGAGAATCTTCTTTATAGAATTTGCGCTGGCATATAGAAGCCTCATCCTTAAATTTCACTTATATAGTGGTAAGAAAAATAATCCTGGTTTTAGGCCATTTTGTCTAAAACAAAATTTTCAAGGGGCACACCTAGTGTGACAACCTAAAAAAAGTCATTTTGGGAATTAAAAATTGAAAAAACTAGTAAATCCATCTATTTAAAATTTTGATGGTATATTTATACATGTTTTGAGAATACACAGTGAAATTTTTGAAATAAAATATTAAATATTTTTGAAATGATACGCGATCTCCGGCGGCATCAAAGAAAAAGGTCCTCTACTGCTGAAGAGATTGCAGCCTTCTTCGTTGATAAAACCAAAAAAAAACCTAAAACATATTGTCTGTACGATGTCCCTCGGGCGAACAAAAAATAAAAAAATGATAAAATGGTAGAAATGGTAAATTTTGGTAGTTTTTGGCCTGCCAAAATTCGATTTTTGATCAGATCAAAAAACTGGAGGGTCATCTTATGGAAAACTATATAAAGGAGATGCAAAAAAAATTATAGCGATCGGATCATTTGTCTCCGAATAATCGCTGCAGCAAAATCGAGAAATGCTGTTTCGAGAAAAACGCGTTTAAAAATAAAATAATCGTTATACTATATATGGTATTATATACGAGTATATATACTCTTTTATGGGGTTACACCACTGTAGCAGCCTAACAAAACGTATGTTTTTGCCTTTTTTCGGGCGGAAGGAAATGTAATAATATCATGATATTAAAGATAGTTATTTATTGTACTTCAAGGTAACAAAATAAAATATAATTGTAAAAAAAAATTAAAAACTCGCCATTTTGGCGATCCGGGTCAAATTGGAAGCGCTACGCGGCACGAAGAATAACTACAACAATTTTAATTTTTTTCATTCGAATTTTTATTAGTATATTTAAAATCACATTTCAAAGTGCCCTTGTAATAAGGTGTTAAAAATTTTTTTTTCGACGATTTTTATTATTATTTTTTTACGGTAGATACCATAGTCTTCTAGATCATACTAAAATATAACGGCCCTACGACAACTCGTTTAACTTTCAAAATTCGTCAAAGTTTGCAAAAATTGGTATATCTTTTTGGTATTTGTCAAAATTAGAACTTTCATCGACGTTTGCTCAAAAAAGCCTGAACCGATTTCAGAAATTTGATGTATCTCGATGAGGATTATCGTTCCGCAGTTTTATGCAATTATCAGCTGAGCCGTTTCTTTGTAATTTGGAAAAAAGTGTTAAACTTTTTGTCGTCCACATTTAAGCTCATACTACCGATTCGATTTTAAAAAATCAAAAACTTTTCGAAAGATATTGGTTGAGAATGATACTGATTAGTTTTAGTTGAAAATCTACCGAGCCGTTTTCTTGTAATTAACTGTTGAAAAAAAAATTTAAGCTGATTTTTATGAAACTTTCTTTGGCGATGTATATCATGGTCTTATAGAACTTACTGAAATATTGCGGCCTTACGACAAGTAATTTATTTTGAAAAATTCATCAAAGTTTGAGAAAATGAGTAGTTTTGTTGACGTTTGTTAAAATTAAAATTAGATAATTTATTTGGTATAAGGAGAAATTACTTGGTCTTAATGAACATACTAAACCATTAAAGTCTTACGAAACCTGGTTCAATTATAAAAATTATTGATTTGTGAAAATTTGCTTTTAGAAAATACTCCGAGTTAACGTGTTCGTTCGTTTTCAATTATGTGTAATGAATCCTCTCGGAATACTTCTAATCACTCATAAATTAATTTGTTTATTATTGATTAAGACGATTATTTATACATATCGAGAAGTTCATGTAACTTGCCTCAAGGCTAAATACCAAATCAACTAGTTAATTTTTTTTTAATTATTATTTGCTTCTATTTTATATTAAATCATCATATTACGGATATTACTTTCATGTAAATTCTATCCTTTGCACTCTTATTTATTTAAATTTATGTTATTATTTATCAATATTACTAGATGTTAATTATTTAACAGTCGTAATAATTATTGAAATTAAAAAAAAATGTAAATAAATTTTTGACTGTCTGAAATAACTACTAATTATTTTTAAAGAATCATGAAAAAAATTAAACAAGATTTTATAAAAACCTAAAACCTTAAAAGCTCAAGTTTATAGTCAGTACTTCTGATTGAAAAAAAATCATTTAAAAAAGACGAATTTTTTTGAATCCTTAAATGGTATTTGTTTTTTTTTAAATAATAATAAATTTTTTACCATAACTAAAAATCACCGTCCCGATTTTTACTTGAGAAATCATGGTCACCTCATATATATTTACGTATTTTTGCGTATACCATATATATTAACATTAACATCTATCACTCACCATGTATCCTTTCCTCCCAGCTTTGTACGAATACCAGCCCGTCCTGGACGACGAATTGCCACTTCGAGTTGGTGACCTGATCGGCGTAATCAGGAGAGAGCAGGACGGCTGGTGGGTAGGACTTTTGAAAGGACGTGTCGGCGTCTTTCCGGCAACTTATGTGCAAGATCCTGCAGATAACAAGGATAATTAATAGATAATAGATTTTGGAATAAGATAAGACGACTTTTGACAATATAATTGTTGATGTTGAATTTATTTATAGTTTATATGTCGTAGAGTTTGATATACTGTTAACTTATCGATAGGGTATAATATGTATATATATATATAT